GTTTGTTGAACTTATTAGTATTGAACTATGGATGTTGTTGATTCTTAATCTCATGTTATTTTGGGTTGTAGACTTGAAATTGTTGGTCTTATGTTGACTTTTGAACTTTGTCGGATTAGATGTCAACATGTTTTTTATTTTTCACTAGCTAATATTTAACATTGGATAATACAGGTTTTGTTCAACATGTCTACTCGGTCCAGACCGTACTGGACCGCACCGCACAGGTGTGGTCTGGTCTGGACCGTATAGGTTATGGTCTAGTCCATGGTCTCTATTTTACCCTCTCGGTCTGGACCGCAGACCGTGTATATGGTCTGGACAAGACCGCACCATTTCCCATCCCTAGCCTGGCCAGTGGCCACCCAGCATACACACACATATAAAATAAGTGTCAAACGTGCGGGTTCGGGCTGGGTTCAATCGAGTTGCGGGTTAGTCGAGTTGCGGGTAGTCAAGTTTTGGGTTCATCGGGTTGCGGGTTCATCGGGCTCAAATTCATCGGTTTGCGGTCTCATCGAGTACGTGTTCAATCCTGTTACGGGCAAATATGGTTGCGGGTCGGGCAGGTTGTGAGCGGATCAGGTTGCGGGTTGTTCCGGTCAACGCATCGAGTTACTTACTCCTTACTCTTTACCAACTTACACAATTTATTACACTAATTTAAATTTTTTTCACAAAATTTTAACCAATTTCTTTCTACGTCGTATATATACTTAAAATTTAGAGAAAAAATAGTCAAAATGTTGAATCAATTTATATGACTTGCAAACTTGTCATGTAAGTAATTGGTAAAGTACACTAGCTAATAGTAATAGTGATGTCAACATTTGCAACCAATAGACACCATTAATTGTTTATTTGATATTTTAGTATTATTTCAGTAGTAATTGGAATAAAGTATCTCGTTTGGTAGAACCATGCAAATCTTATATTTGGCAAAAGCATAGTGGTATTCAGATCATGAATTAACATGAGTTAGTTCATGATACTATACCCTAACCTCTAATGGGTGACCCGAATCCCCAATTCTCTAACCCAAATCATAAGATTCATTTAATCTTAAAATAAAAACCAACGGTTATGATCATCAGAATTGTAGGTATGATTGTTTGAATTACCCTATTAAATTTAGTAAAATTGTTGCGAGTTCAATCGTAACTTACTCAATAACATATACCTTATACACTTAACCCTTACCCTCAATAGACAATATTAAGTTAGTATGTTGTTGATCGTATACCCTAAACCATCAATACACACTAACCATGTACCCTATATACTAACCACATATCATGTACCCTCACCATATATCTTTAGAAGTTGTGATTTTGTTACTATAGTTAATTTAAAGTGAAATTCATACTTTGATTTTCAGAACATAGATAAAAAGGGATCTTTGCTACACCCTAACCATATATCATATACTCTAAACCATATACCCTAAACACGTACCCACAACATAGATTAAAAAGGAATCACCTGTCGTTAAAAACTTCAAATGACTTCATATACGGCTTAAACGCCGGGGGGGGGGGGGGACGGTACGGTATCGTATCCCAATATCAAATACCGAAGTCACGATACGGGATTACACTCTAAAATCAATCATAATCCCAATCCCAATTTCTAAATATTTTGGTATCCCAATCGACATTTCGGTATCGAATATAATGTTCGTTTCTTAATGAGCTCGCTCGTTTACTGAGTTAATTCAAATATCCTGCACTTCATGAGTTAATTCAGTGAGATGAATAGAGTAAGCTAAATCAATGGCATGCACTTCATTAATGTATCGTGAGTTAAACAGCACTTCTTGAGTTAATTCAATGAGATGAATAGAGTAAGCTAAACCAATGGCATGCACTTCATTGATGTATCATGAGTTAAACAAAAAGGATCACTAGATTAGTATGTTTTTTTTTATAATGGTGATAGAATTAGAATAAAAAGAAAAATGGAACAGTACAGAGAAATGCGAGGCAAAGGTTCACAAAAAGGTGAACCAAAAAGCCCAGCAGTCACAGAGGGGAACAGAAACTAACAACAGCAACAACAACTGCGGAAAAAAACAAAGCAGAAAAGAGCAGAAAGAGGCGAGGGACAAAGAACCCCAGGAGAACTAGCTAATTGGACCGAGCCAACCCTGCTAGAAAACCGAAACAGAAAGCAGAGACCACGAACCCCCGACAGCCCTCCTAGAACGCAAAGACAACCCCAAGAGTGAGGCAACAAAGCCGATCAAAGGAAGAACTCAATCGCTCATCAGGAGGAAGAAAAGCGTCGACCGAGGTTCAGCAGATTCTCCTCAGCCCACCGCAAACCTTGAGATTTATCCACCTTCCCAAAAGAGATTGCCCAATCCAAAGCATCCCTCAGCACCTTACGAGTGACGATCCTAGCGTGCAAGCGAGCATCTCTGAATACTCTTCTATTTCTCTCCAACCAGATCTGCCAGCACAAAGAGTGAAGAAGTCCGAAGCAAACCCAACTGTTAACACTGGAAGCAGGACAAGAAGGCCACTCTCGAATCATGGATATAATGTCTCTACTTGGGCCTGTAGAAAGACCACAGACCCTTCTTGAAGCACTCCACACGTCCCTAGCAAACTCACAATGGGAGAAAATGTGATCGATGTTCTCCTCCTCTTTGCCGCAGAGCTCACATCTGTTGGCAAGCTGCCAGCCCCTGGCCTTCAAGTTGTCGATGGTGAGAATTCTCTTCTGCACCACTAGCCAAACAAAAAAGCAGATTTTTGTCGGCACAATCTGCCTCCACACAGACTCATCCGGGAACTCCGAAGCTCCGCTGAACTTGCCATCCACCAAGTACCTGTACATAGAACGAACAGAAAAAGATCCATCCACATCGGGCAGCCAAGTAGGCCTAGAAGGCCCACTCGACACACAACTGGCTCCTCTCGAATTAAGCAAGTTCAAAAGCTCCACTCTCTCCCTATTCGCTCCTCCCCTAAGATCAAAAGACAAAGGAACATTCCAAATGACAGAGTTACCTGAGAGGGACGCGGCGTGCGAGACCCTGGCGTTCAGAGAGCTAGAGGCAACAGCAACTCTCGGGAATTTCTCAGCAAGAACCACTTCTGGAATCCAGCTATCATACCAGAAGGAAACCCAAGCACCATTACCAGCATCAATATTAGCCATCTTCCAAAAATCATCATACTCTTTGGAGATATTTGCCCAAACTGAGCCTGAGAATCCCTGACGGCATCTCACAGTGCGCCAAACAGAGTGCTGACTAGGGAACTTAATGCTGATCAACTCCCTCCACCAACTATTGCCCTCATTGGCGTACCGCCACAACCACTTCCCTAACATAGCCCTATTAAAGGAATCAAGGTCAATGATCCCAAGGCCACCCCGCGAGATAGGAGCTTTGCAGATATCCCATCTAACCAAAGCAAATTTCTTAGTATCACCCGAACCGCTCCACAAAAACCTTTTTTGAACACCCTCCAATCTTTTCACCACAGAAGAACGAGCACGAAGAAGAGAGAAGAAATAAACCGGTTGACTCGAGAGCACAGCCTTGATCAAAGTTAATCTGCCTCCAAGGGGAAGATATTTACCTTTCCAACCATCGAGCCTCTTCTGATATTTGTCCACAACTGAGTCCCACACCGAGATAGCATTAGGATTTGCGCCAAGAGGGAACCCCAGATACTTGGAAGGCTCCCCACTCCAATTGCACCCAAAGTAGAAGCAAAAAACTCAGGGTTTGGGATGTCCCCGACTGTGAACATCACCGATTTCTCCAAGTTAATCCTGAGGCCAGTGACCGCCTGGAAGCAAACCAGAGTAGCTAGAATATTAAGAACCTGATTATACTCCGCGTCGCAAAAGATTAATGTGTCGTCTGCAAACAACAAGTGAGTCACCTCTCCCCCACCATTCTCCTCGTTCATAAAGAAACCAGAAATCTTCCCACTGCTCCTAATCCCAGAGTATGTTAATAATAACAAATGAAATATTCTAACTGTAATTAACATTCTCCATTTCGATTGTTTGCATGACAATACAGCAGCAGGCACATCTCAGTTTCAGCATATCTCACCAAAAATTCTGTCAAAATCGTTTCTTTGGTTTGAATAAATCATAATTCATCATGGAGGTTTACCAGTCGAAGCTTCTATTGGTGTTCACTGTCCAACTGTCCATTGCTGCTCTGCCTCTGCCTCTGCCTCGCGCATCTCCGTCTAAATGATAACCTGAATACCCACTATGGAGCATTTGGAGGGGGATTTGGATACCGTCCATGAATGTATTTTCTACCAAATCGCTGGGGAAGATACATCCCAACCTTCACCCATGTATATAATAGTGGATTGCATCCCTTTAAGAGATCAAGTCCAAAAGAGCTCCAAGTTGTGGACCAATAAAATGGGTCGTAATTTTGCTTATTCTAGCGCAGTGGAAGCTCCCTTTGGGGAATTTAACTAGATGAGCCCATCGAGCAATTATCAAGCTATGCTCGAGTTGAGCGAGTTGCTAATTTATTTCACGAGTTGAGT